TTGCGGCTCAGCTCCAAGAGCAGCAGGAGGAGATCGAGAACATGATGAACGCCATCTTCAAAGGGGTCTTTGTGCATCGGTACCGGTGAGCTGGGGTTTGTGAGGGGTGTTGGGCACAGGGATGACTCTGGGAGATGAGGACAGCTGTGGGGGGAGAGGGGGCATGGCGGACACAGGGGCAGGTCCAGTGAGCTGGGGGCAGTGGGGGATGGAGGTGGGCACAAGGGCTGCTCTGGGGACCGCTTCGAGCCTGGCAGTGCCCCATGGCCACAGGGATGTGGTGCCTGAGATCCGGTCCATCTGCATGGAGGAGATGGGGAAGTGGATGCAGAGCTACAGCACCTCCTTCCTGACGGACGGCTACCTCAAGTACATTGGCTGGACTCTGCATGACAAGGTGGGCAGCTGGGAGGTGGAATGGGGTGGGTGGGGATGTGGGACTCCATGCTCGCCCACCCTCTGTCCCTGCAGCAGCGGGACGTGCGTCTCACCTGCCTCAAGGCCCTGCAGGGGTTGTACAGCAGCCAGGACACAGCTGTGCGCATGGAACTCTTCACCAGCCGCTTCAAGGTGAGTCCTGCCCTGAGATGGCCACTGCTCCATTCCCCCCACCGCCTTGTTCCATCCCCTGTGGGGTATTTGGCCAGGGGCACCCCTTGGCACCCTGTACACAAGGTGATTGCAGACAAGAGTGAGGGGCAGCACAGTTGCACCTCTTCCAGCCCCGGTAGCCATCATGCTAACAGCACACATGCCCAAGCCTGGGGGCAGGAAGAGGCAGCTTCCCTCCCCCCGTTGCAGTGTATCCTGGGGGCTGACTTGCCTACCATCTCTGATGCAGGCCCGCATGGTGTCCATGGTGCTGGACAAGGAGCCCGATGTGGCTGTGGAGGCTGTCAAGCTGTTGACCCTGATCCTGCAGTGAGTCCAGGGACTGGGTGGGTGGGCAGGCCCTTTTACTCTGCCCGGCACAGCAGGGGCAGGGGTCCAGGCCCCCCTTCCCTTCTTCCTGGGCCCGTGACCTCTGTGGTCTGCACACCTGCAGGAACATGGAGGACGTGTTGACGGAGGAGGACTGCCAGGGCATCTACCCTGTGGTGTTCGCCTCTCACCGGGCGCTGGCCGCTGCTGCCGGGGAGTTCCTGTACAGGAAGTGAGTGAGCATGGTGGAGGGCACTGCTGCCCTTGGGGAACCTGGCCTCCTCTCTGATGCCCTGTGGTGTGGGCAAGGCCTCCACAGGAGCATGAGATCTGGTTTGCCGTCCAGGACAGTCATGGGTGAATTAGAATGACCTTGGGGGATGGGGAGAGGAAATGAGGCTGAAGGCTGCAAATAATTCAGGCAGGAGAAGAGCCTGAGATGGGTCTGGTGATTTACCAGAGCTTGGAGATGGACCCAACTTGGGGCCCCAGGGGCAGGACAGGGAACTGCGGTCTGAACCTACAGCAAGGGGAATAAGGATGGGAGATGAGAGCAGAAGAGAGGCTCCATCTTTGGCCGTGTTTTGGGGCAGACTGGACAGAGGATGTACCCTGGAGTGCCCAGCTGCTCCAGAGGCTGTTTCAAGGCTGGAGATGTGTAGCTCTGAAAGGGGCTGTGGCCCTTCAGCAGTCTCCTGGGCCCTCTGCTGAGAGGCAGCCCAAGGAGGGGTTGAGGAAGGGAGCAGGGATGGTCCAAAGCTGCTGGGGGTTTTGCTGCCTGAAAGATGAGCTGAGCACACGCCCTTAAGGGAGAGAGAAGGCTGACATGGGGGTGGGAGAGAAGGCTTTTGGTATGGCTCTCGCTGCTCCAGACGCCAAGGCCAGCACAGCATGCAAGCTGGGCGCAGCCCTGCCTGGCCCCTAGCCCGCGCTGCCGCCTGGTCACGCGCTGGCAGCTGCCTCGCACAGGCCCGGGGCGGGGGGGAGCACATGAGCAAACACCCCATGCCCTTGTGTGCGCCCGGCACCGTCCAGCTCAGCCCAGGGGCACTGCTGGGGTCCCTGATTTTTGGGTTCATGGGCGTGGCAGCCTTGCTGCTCTGCCTCCAGCTGCCCCCTGGCCCCCGGCAGTGGGAGGGGACTGCTCAGCCCTTCATTACTGTCTGCAGCTGTTTCCATCTGGGCTTGGCTGTATTCCCAGCTGCGTGTTCCTCCCATACCAGGAGAGTGCGGTCACAGCCGGGGCAGCCTGCTCTGCCCAGTCTGACCCAGCCCTTGCCCCACCACCGGCTGGGCTGGACTCATGTCACTGCCTGCGTGTGCCTTGGCCTGTGTGTGCCTGGCCCAAATCCTGTCCTAGGCATGCATACATGGGCAGTTGTGCCTGTGCCCCTGCTGGGCCTGGGTTTCCCCAGGGGGCTGAGAAAGCCAAGCCCTCTGCTCTGCCCTACCAGACCCTGCTCTTCCCCTCTCCTCTCCCCACGCTGGGACAGAACCTAGGTGTCTGGGCTCCCATAATGGAGAGATCCTGCTCCCCTTCTTCCGCTGGGGCAGAGCCTGGGGGGCTGGTCCTCCCGTGCCTAACAAACCCCATCCCCTTTCCACAGCTGGGACCGAACCAAGGCATCCAAGCTCCTGTAACTGACAGACCCTGTTCTCCTCCTTGTGCTGGGGTGGAACCCAGGTGTCTGGGTTTACAGCTCCCCCCTGCTCTAACCCCCTAGACCTCATGGTCCTCCTTCCCCTTGCCTGGGGCTGGAGTGGGACCTGGGTGACTGGGTTTGTGTCCACCCCCCAGCTCTGGCTTGTGGGTTTCAGGCTGCTGGACCCCAAAGGTGAAGCCAGGCAGGAGAGACTCCAGCGTGGGGAGACGAGGGCCTTCTTCCACCTGCTGCTGGCCTTCTTCATTGAGAGTGAGGTGAGGGGGGTGTTCTGGAGTGGTTGGGGGGGCAGGGCAGGTCAGGGCTCCCCCAGATTGCTCACTGCCCCACCCCCGCCCACAGCTCCACGAGCATGCAACCTACCTGGTGGACAGCCTGTGGGACTGCGCTGCAGCCCTGCTCAAGGACTGGGAGGCCATGGCCGTGCTGCTACTGGAGGAGTCTTCGGATGAGGGTGAGTGGGGACTGAGGTGGGGGGAAATGGGGCCCTGGGAGAAGTCCTGCAAGCTGAC